GCGACACTTAGAGCAGCGGGGAAAAACACTCAAGTAGCAGGTAGGCCGGTACCACTCAAGTAGTGGTAGGAGTGTCGGGTACTGGAGGCCGAGCAGAAGAAGACAAAAAGTTGGCATTTTTAGAGGCCCAGTAGCGGTAGGCCAGAGGTAGGCCGGTACCAGTCCAAGTAGCCCGGGTCTAGGGCCTGTCCAGACGATAGCAGAGCCTGCAATGATGTTTCCCTCTGAAAGGGAAGAGGTACCGGTTGCTTGGAGGCCGCTAGGCCTAGGAAGCCACCGCACAAGAGGCCAGTAGGCCACTATATCTTCCGGAGGAGCAAGTAGCTCCTCCTCATTTGCGGCATGCAAGGATTGGCGACATGCTGCTGAGCGAAGCACTAGGCTGGTACAGCGCTGCCTGGAGGTAAAGGGCAGTTGGGCACTCAGCCTGGCTATGGCGAGCAGCCCAGCCTGAGGAGGAGGAAGAAGGGGGTGGAGGAGGAGAGTGACGAGGCACCTACCTGGCTATGGTGGACACCGTCTTCATCACCTTGTTGGGCGCTGCATCTGGAAGGCCCCAGTTGGGGTAGTGCCGCACCAAGGAAGCTCGAGGCAGAGTCAGGCATGGCGGCTTAGTCAGCAGCGGCATAGCTGCTTTGGGTTGTCCTTTGGACAGGAGGGCAGCGCCATAGCTGCTTTGGGTTGTCCTTTGGACAGGAGGGCAGGGCCCTCAGTAGTCCGCCATAGCCTAGGCATGTGAGAGGAGGAAGAAGGAGGGAAGCCATAGCTATGGTGGACGTTGTTGTTGCTGTTGTTGTTGAGTCAGCAGTAAGAGGGAACTTCAGATATTGATTCTGGTTCATCCACTCGTTGTTATTATTATTATTGGGAAGAAGAATAAGATTGGAGAGGTTAAGGAGGAGGAAGAAGGTGGAGAGAGAAGGGGGGATTTGTCATTGGTCTTGCTGGTGTACATCTTCTTCTTCTTCTGCTTTCCCTCTTCTCTGGTCTCTATCTCTTTGCAAGTGCTTTCATTTCTTTCGCAATTGGGTTGCATTGTCTTTCATTGTGAATTTGCACTTTGGGAATGACCAGGATCGTAACAATTGGTATCGGAGCGGACTTACTTGCTGGCGAGAGGTGTTAGTCACCCTAAACCTAATTCCGAATTAGGTTAGGGCTAACCTAGTCTCGGATTAGGGTTGGGAAGTTAGGGTTAAGAGGGGCAGTGAGGTATGTGGATACTGCCCCCACCTGGTTAGGTCATGTAGGGTCGACATCAGACCTGACCAGGTTGCTTGTGTGATTGGATGGGGTGGCAAAACACAAAGGGGGCTGATTGGAGTAAGCGAGAGGGAGTAGAGAGTGAGAGGTACTCGCACCTGGAATCTGCACTTCAAGAAGACATTGAGTGACTTTTGGGCTTCCCCTCAAGAGGGAGACTTGATCGGAGGCTGCCATATCTGTATCGAAGAGCTGCAAGTTGCTACTTTGGTCTTCAGACATCGATGGGGGATTCGGCGTTGTAACAGGGGTGTAGGGAGGCCCTCTTAGTCATGCTAGGACACTTCGTGTAGTGGTAGCTAGGGGTCAGGAGGACTTATGAGAGAGGGGGATGAGACGTTATCCATCTTTGGAGGCCGGGCCTCACAGGTAAGTGCCTTGTGACCTGGCTATGCCCGTGGGAGGTTGCTTGGTGCTTCATGGCCTGTTGGGGTGTGCTGGGCTCTCTTCCTCTTCTCTGCGGTCTTGGTTGTGTGTGTGAGCATGTGGATTGCTTTCTCACCTAATGGATGGATGGATGATGTATCTTGTTCTCAACGACATATCTTTCTATAGTGCATTGTCTTTTCATTTCTGAACGGCTGTAGGGGTAAGTTCTTATGAAAGTTGTCTTTTCCTTTTAAGTACGATAGAGGCAGTTTGGGACTGACTTGGTACGCCTATCTTGTTGGTCCTGGTCCACGACGTACGTGGGACCTTCGGGACTCAGTGGGACCAGGCCCAACGGGATAGGACCTTTAGGACCCAAATCTGTTGTCGTCAATGCATCTCTTTGCTGTGCTGAATTTGGGGGACATACGGCTAGTAAGGACATTCCTTTCAAGGGGATCTTGACTGGTCTTACTGCATGTTCTCACAGACTGCCCTGTGTCTGGCTCGGCGACCATTTGCACCCCTCGAAATCTCCATTGCTGCAGTTAGTTTTCTTCAACTGACCTATTGTGGTACATGCTCCTTGTCAGATTAGACAAGAGGGGATCTCCAACTTATCTGATCGAGCCCGTTCGATAAGTCAGTCCTCTCTTTGTTTTTTTTTATTATTTAATTATTTATCTGTATTCTGCTGCGTGAATGTCATTCTCTAAGTCCAAATGAATTGTCGCTCCGGCTAGGAGTTCTACCTTCTACTCTTTGTGATTCACTGTTTTTCTTTTATCTGAACTATCTATGTCCGGTATTGAGACGCGTCCTCAGAAAGCGGAAAGAGAGAGAAGAGGAGAGAGAAGGTGTTTTTTTTGGAAGTGTGAGGAGGGGTAAGAGGAGTGTTCGTCCAAAAGTGAGCAAACTGCGGACCCCTCTTGCGAGATCTACTGACACCCTATCCTCCAGCATGGCAGACATCACATTCGAGCAACGGAAGGCCATGCTGGACGCAGCGGCCGAGAACGAGAAACCTTTCTTTCAGAAACTTTATGAGGATGCAATACACAGAGAAAGGGAGGTAGAGGCAACAACCAAAGCCACAAGTATTGCTGAACAAGTGGCCCTCCTCGAGGTTCCGAAATCGAATGATGACCGGTTCCACGAGAAGTTGGCTGCTGCGGTAGCAGCCTTGGTTCAACTGCGGACCTTGGAAGATCTCGAGTCCCATGTGATAGCTCTAGAGCAGCGGAACCAAGAGCTGCGGCCGAGATAGTCGGCCTCAAACACTCCCAACTGTTTGCCCCCCGTCCTCCTAATCCTCGTCCTGCTGCAGTCCCTGTCTCTCACTCTAACACAGTCCTCATGCAGATAGCAAGCGGAACTGTGATGAGCGCAAGAACCGGTGCCAGCTCCTCAAGCGGCAGCGCCAGCAGTTCTGCACTGGTCCAAGTCCCAAATGTGGGAACATCAGCCCAAAACGTCGCAGTTCTTACTGGCATACAGTACAGCGGTCTCGTAGTGGACAAGAGGGCAGCCTCTCCGCCGTCCAAGTACAACGGGAAGGGGGATATCACCTCTTGGATTAGCTCCATGCGCTCATACGTCGAGGTACTCCGAACACCGCACGAAGACCGAAGCATGATCATGGGCACAAATACTGAGCCCGCCGTACGGAGTTTCATAGAACTCCAAGCTGTTACTGAAAGTTCTGAGAGAATTGATCTGACTGAGTGGCTGAAAGTAACTGCTGTACGTACTCTTGAGGACCTCTCATCGTGCAATATCAAGATAAGCACGTTGCGCTCAAGGCAAGGCTGAAGCTTGAGGCCCTCAAGGACCAAACGAGGACTTCCATGCATGCTTTGGAGCAACACTTGATTGGTCTGTTCACCACTCCAAACCAAGGAAGGACTGACGTGTCTTGCATGGTTGTAGTTATGGGAGTGGCCCCAAAGAATATGTCTCCCGACTAGGACTCAAAGACCATACGACTTGGTGAGAGCTATTGACGGATCTAGTCAATCTAGAAGCCAAGGACCTCGCCAGGTGTGCAAAGGCACCCGCTACAGGTAGAACCTCGCAACGCAAGCGTTACAGAAGCAGCAACCAGCTTGCCCTGCATGAACATTCGGAGGCTGAGGATCAGTCCTATGCGGATGATCTGTCTCTAGATGACGATCTAGAGCCGGACTCCGGCGTGGGCTGTTCTACATCAGCCCTTGAGTTTGACATGAATACTGAAGAAAAACGCAATGCCTTTAAAAAGACTGCTTCAAGCAAGGGGCCTAACCGTGGTTCGGGTAAGGGAACTATAGCACACCTCCCCAAGAATGCAAAGATCCCTGAGAAGCCGGAGGATGCTTCCACCAAGCCTTGGGGAGCCCTCCGCATCAGCCAAAAGGAATGAGAGAGAAGATCCAAACTGCGCGTGTGCTTGCATGGCCAAAAGTCTGGGCACGCTGTGCAGAATTGTTATCGTCTGCAGGGAAACAGGCAAAGGGCGTATAAGAATCATCAACACTCTCTACAACAAGGGAAGCTGAACAGTCAGTTGCAGGCCCCTCCAAGGAGCCTGAATCTGATCAACAGCCGGCTCTTGAAGCCCGGACTGATGCTGACTCCAAGGTTGTTGCAGTTCAAGTACTTTACACTGAGCCCTGGGAGGAGACTAAGGAAGTCAACTTCCACTCACATCTGGAATATTGGCTGCAGCTCAAGCAGCAACGTCGTGTTGAAGGGAGTGTGGAACTGATCTTCTTTAAGATGCCCATTAACCGCCGATACATCCGTGTGCTGATTGATAATGGCTCAACGACTAACTTCTTTTCGCCTTACGGGATTCGTAAGGCGGGCCTGGGAATGAAGCAAGTGGAATTGCAGAACCCTTGTCAGACCCAGGTGGGCAACCAAGAGGTTGTCACGCACGTCACTTTTGACGAAGATCGCACTGTTACACATGAGCTGAACTTTTATGTCATGGACAAGTGTCGTTTCGACGCGGCCATTGGCTTGGGCTGGTTAAAGGCTCATTGTCTAAGGACGACGTGGGGGGATAATCAGTTCGTGATGCGTGATGCCAAGGGGAACGAGCGTACCGTTCTATTGTACGAGACGCGTGAGTCCCCTGTGACTCTTTTGAGTGCAAACAAATTCTGCAAAACAGTGCGCAGGCGCAAGGAAGCTGAGCATGTGCATGTAGCTCTTGTAAAGCCTCTCCATGTGCCTTCTACTGTTGCTACATTTTCTACCTCGGAAAGTAATTTTACTTCTACTACCTCTACTTCTATTCCATCTACTTCTACTGTAAAAAATCAATTTACTTTTGATCCAAGTACTTCGAGTTCAGTTGTAATTGCTGTAAATTCTCAATCTGATTTTCTCTCTCCTGATGAGGATGATCCTCTACCGGAAGTCCCATCAAACATTCGCCGTCTATTGAATCGATTTCCTGAAGTTATGGATGAACCTCGTGGAGTTCCCAAGCGTCCGGTCAAACACAAGATCGAGATAATAGAAGGGAGTGTTCCTCCAAAGGGTTGCGTCTACCATATGGGACAAGGCGAGTTGGAGGAGTTGAGGAGCCAAATTGATGACATGATCGATCGTGGATGGATTAGGCCTAGTGAGTCTGAGTTCGGTGCACCTGTCTTGTTTGTGCCGAAGAAAGGAGGCAAACTCGAAATGTGTATTGACTATCGGATCACCAGAAAGAATGCTTATCCTTTGCCTCGCATAGATGATCTGCTAGATGCGGCAGGTGGATGCAAAATCTTCTCCAAGATCGACCTCAAATCTGGCTACCACCAGACCACCAGATTGAAGTTGATCCGAGCGACCAGCACAAAACTGCATTCAAAACACACGATGGGCTGTACGAATTTATCGTTATGCCCTTCGGTCTTACGAATGCACCAGCAGCGTTTCAGTGCCTCATGGACAAGGTCCTTCGCCATCAGCTTAACAGGTTTGTTGTTGTTTACCTCGATGACATCCTGATTTTCAGCAAGTCCATGGAAGAGCATGTCAAGCACCTTGAGGAGGTTTTGCAGGTCCTCAAGGAGGCACAGTTGCACCTCAACTTAGAGAAATCTGAGTTTGGAAGGGACAACGTCATCTATCCTGGGCACCGGTTGTCTGCAAACGGCCTTGAGCCGGAGGCAACGAAGGTTGAGGTCAAACGAAAGTGGCCTCAACCGGCAAACGTACGCGAACTGTGTTCTTTTCTTGGTTTAGCCTCTTCTTATCGGAAGTTTGTGCCCAAATTTTATGTCATTGCTCACCCACTCTCAAGACTAACAAGCAAGAATGTTGCCTATGCGTGGTGTGAGAAATGTGAGACTGCGTTCCAAGCGTTGAAAGAGGCTTTGGTGAGTCATCCTGTGTTCCGCATTGCGGATCCCAACCTCACGTTCGTGGTCACTACGGACGCGAGCCAGTATGGGATTGGTGCAATGCTGCAACAAGATGATGGCGATGGCCTGCGTCCGCTCGAATATTACAGCAAACGCATGCCCAGCCACAAGGTAGCTACCTCCACATATATGTGTGAGCTCTATGCTTTGTGAGAAGCGCCCACACATTGGAAGCACTACCTCTTGGGTCGTCACTTCAAGGTCTACTCAGATCATCACACCTTGCAGTGGATTAAAACGCGAACTGATCTCTCTCCGACACTGACCCGCTGGCTGCATGACATTGATGTTTACGACTTTGAACTGAAGCATAAGAAAGGTTGTTATAATCGTGTTGCTGATGCTTTGTCGCGTCATCCTGAGTTTTTGACTTGCCTTGTGAGCTCGTATGACCTCCGAAGGAAACTGACGGAGGATCTGGTCGAGCACACTGCCAAGGATCCGGACCTTAATCCCATCCTTGAGCAGCTCAAGGCTGACCCCAACTGTAAGCCTGATTTTCACGAGTGTGAGGGTCTTGTATTCTACCGGTATGGGAAGTTTGATCGTTTGTGTGTACCCAACCATGCGCCTCTCCGGACTCATTTCTTGGATTTGGCAAATGGTCGGAGTGGACACTTAGTCTTTGAGAAGACTTATGGAAGTCTTTTGCAGCAATTTGATTGGCCGGGAATGAAGGGATCTGCTTAGAAATTTATTGTTGAATGTCAAGTCTGTCAAAGAACCAAGGTCCATAGGCATAAGCCTTATCGCCTGTTGAAACCCCTCTCAATCCCTGATGGGCCCGGTGAGTCGGTTTCTATCGATTTCATGGGCGTGGGGAAGGTGAGCGAGGGAGGACATTCACAAATCATGGTCATTGTGGATCGTTTTTCCAAATTTCTGAATTTGATTCCTCTACCTCCTTATGCACCAACTGTGATCGTGATCGAAGAATTTCACCAGCGGTACATTCTGCAGTATGGACCCCCGAAAACTCTTGTGAGTGATCGAGACACCAGGTTCATCAGTGCTGACTGGAAGGACTTCACCTCGCAGATCTACGACATTAAACTCGACAAGACTTTTGGTCGACACCCCGAAGCCAATGGATTGGCTGAGGAAATCAACCAGACTGCCATTCAATTACTGCGCGCGTTAATTGTTCCAGATCAGAACACGTGGGACAAGGAGTTACACAAAGTGAAAGGGTTGTACAACAACTCCATTCATTCCGCAACTGGCGTGACACCGAATCAGCTGCAATATGGTTGACAGTTGCGCAATCCTCTCCTATTTGTTCCCCGAACGGTCCCCTGGTCTGACGCCCGACATGCCTGGCTACAATGCCAAGTATGCACGCCTGCTCAAAGTTGCTATCGCAGCAATGAACAAGCGTCAACATGCCATGATCAAACATGCTAACAAGTCACGCAAAGAAGAACTTCAAAGTAGGGAGTTATGTCTGGGTCAAAATGTATGAGTTTTCTGACGAAGAGGGAGTATCACGAAAACTTCTTCCATTGTACTATGGCCCTTGGCAGGTTCTAAAGTTGATTGGGGATGATTTTGGTCCTTCGTATGTGATTGACGTGCCTCCTCATCTGCGCACATATCCGGTCTTTCACGCGTCCAAACTGTTTCCATACATCAATGACGAGACTTTTCCCTTCCGAGATCCTATGATACCTCGTCCTATCGACGACGGCCATGAGATAAACAGAATCATTTCCCATGAAGGAAGAGGGAGGAACACAGTACTAGGATCGACCGAAAAGAGCTGCTAAAGAATGTTCCACGTGTTGTTAACGCTTATGAACGACATATCGCTGATGGACAGACTGCTGAGTTTTCTGCAAAACTCACTCCTCACGATCTTACTAAATCTCTCTTTTTGATCTACGCCTACGATGCATTTTGTGCCGACTCTGAATGAGTTACTCGCTCGAAGGGACCTCTCTCTTGAGAGGGGGGTAGTGTAATGACCTGCCAAAAACACAGATTGAGAACACTGCTGATTTTTGGGATTTGCCGCTGGAATGAATGCGTTGCTGAGATTCCCGCATTCTACTGTGGTTTCCAAGTTTGTGTGTGTGTGCGTGCCTGCTGGTTTGCATGCCTGTGTGAGTGCTTGTCGGCTGAGTGTGTGTGTGACCCACAAGGGTACTTGTTGGTTGAAAGGCCCCGCAGGGCCGATACTTACCTGTGGCCGTGACTTTGAGGGTTGCAGCGGGGAAAACACTCAAGTAGCGGGGGTAGGCCCGTGACACTTAGAGCAGTGGGGAAAAACACTCAAGTAGCAGGTAGGCCGGTACCACTCAAGTAGTGGTAGGAGTGTCGGGTACTGGAGGCCGAGCAAAAGAAGACAAAAAGTTGGCATTTTTAGAGGCCCAGTCCAAGTAGCCAAGGTCTAGGGCCTGTCCGGACGATAGCAGAGCCTGCAATGATGTTTCCCTCCGAAAGGGAAGAGGTACCAGTTGCTGGGAGGCCTAGGAAGTCACCGCCCAAGAGGTCAGTAGGCCACTGTCGAATGCATTGGTCCGGCACCGCACAAGGCAGGGCGGGACCCTCCCGGCCGCGTCACGCAGGAGTTGGTCTTAATCCTCGTCGCGAATACATAATGGAGCTTCCGCAAGCCGCTCCGGCGGAATGCGCCAGCCATACCTCTCGCGAGCCCCTACGATAGGATAGGGCCTACGCGAGGCACGACTTACCTCTTCGTTACTGGAGCTGTCACCTCCGTTCGGTGGGTGTATCCCCGTCGAGCTACCAGTGCACAGTACGAAAGCTAATCAGCTGCAATCGCAGAGGTGGACCAGCCGAGGGCGTTTCTCGTTCGTTGTAGCATAGGGGGTACGCTCGATTTTATGCCTCTATCAGACCCGCACGTGAACCGACGCCTTGTGGGGTTGAGGTCCCAAACGCGACTCGTCGTCGGTCGACTAGAAGGCATCCCACACACCACGCGTACACCACTTCAAAGAACTTAAAAATTAAAAACACACACACATACACATACATATACAGAACGACACAAAACAAACAACGCGACAGCACTCCTAATCCCTTAGTTGTCATCCCATAACTCTCCGATGCTAAAATCGGATAGGCGTCGCGCGCGAGATTTAGTATAAAACCGCGCGGACGCAGGGCTACTCTCATATCGATTCGCAATGCAAGCACATGCAAGCAGTCGCAATTGTGGCGTACTATGTAGTACCCATACTCGTACGGTCCTCATTAATCTCGAAGGTCACATTCGACACTATGTTGTTAGTTAAGAAAGTAGGAGAGTCTTCAACTACCCATTCTCTTGGCATAGATGCACTCCTAAGTGTCGGTTGACACACGCCTTGAGGGAATGATCTCTCGACGCTAGACAACCGCCAAGTGCGGTTGAGAACCACACCCTTTTCGGCACCCTGTGAAGAGTGGGTGGTACACATGTTCATACTTGTGGTGGCAATCGTCTCTTATCGCCCTGGAGACCAGCTCTATTATCCAGGGCCTGGAGAGAAATCAAGGGTGACTTTGGCGGCTGCCACGGACTACAACATCCAACTATAAAAACCTCTGAAAAGCAAAGGATAACAGGGGATCTCCCTTTTCTCTCAAAAGCATAATCTGTTCAACCCTTACGCGCGGTCACATAGGCCGCGCGAAACACTCAAGACATATGTATTTACATATATAGAGAGGGTTATACTTATGTCATCACTTCTCATAATCACAGTGGGACTCCTCTCAGCCATATATATGTATATGATCGCGGGCAGTCAAATCCAAAGTCCGACCCACCAAACATACCTGCAATCACATCAAAGAGTCGACCAAAAGTCCATGCACTACACGGGGTCAACTTCAACCATTCTCTGTACTCGCACCCCTCGCTTTAGCCATGCAAGCCTCACTCTTGTGCAACTCCTCAAAATAAAATACTCAATACTTTTGTTAAATGGCCATTCAAATAAAGTCCGGGCGAAAACACAACAAAACAATTCAAATCACAAGGCTAAAGCCTTTAGGTTGAGTGACAAGGGTGAACTGGAGTTGAGTCATAAACCGACGAATCGACAACCGACCTGTTATCAGTGATAACAGAAGATGATCCTCGTAGGATCAAGATGAATCTAGCCCAAATCCTGAATCAATCGATCAAGAAGACCTAAAACACAAGACGGGTCAATCCCCAAGCTAAATTTATAAGTTCATGGAGAATAATCTCCATATC